TTTGTCTATTTTTGCTTTTGTTACCTGTACTTTTGGTGTCATATCCAAGAAATCATAGCCCATTTCAATGTCATGAAGCTTTTTCCTTATGTTTTCTTCTAGGAGTTTTATAGTTTCAGGTGCTACCTTTGTACCTGTAATCGATTTTGAGTTAGTTTTTGTATATGGTGTGAGATAAAGTCCATCTTTAATCTTTTGCATGGGCATGTCCAGTTTTCTCAACACCATTTGCTGAAGAGAGAATCGTTTTTCCATTGTGGAGTCTTGGCACCATTATCAAAGATTATTTGACATGATACCTCCTGGGATCAAGTGATCCTCCCACCTCAGCCTCCCAAGTGACTGGGACCACCAGAAGGTGACACCACACCTGGCTGATTTTTGTATGTTTTGTGGAGACGGGGTTTTGTCATGTTGCCCTGGCTGGTCTTGAACTCCTGAGCTCAAGCGATCTGCCCACCTAGGCCTCCCTAGTGTTGTGATTACAGGCATAAGCCACCATGTCTAGCTCCCACATTTTTGTTATATTTTAGATCCAGCTTGTTAGGTCTTTTGATACTTTTCTTTATCCTTAATGTTTTGTATTTTGCCGTATTACTGTGTATAAGTGTAGATTTTACTATTGATTAGCAGTAGAGAGTTTTTTCAACCTAGAAAATAATATCTTGGAAAAATTTCAACTATTATTTATTTATTTATTTTGAGATGAAGTCTCACTCTATCACCCAGGCTGGAGTGCAGTGGCGAGATCTCGGCTCATCACAACCTTCGCCTCCCGGGTTCAAGCCATTCTTCTACCTCAGCCTCCTGAGTAGCTGGGATTATAGGTGCGTGCCACCATGCCCAGCTAATTTTTGTATTTTGAGTAGAGACAGGGTTTCACCATGTTGGCTAGGGTGGTCTTAAACTCCTGACCTTGTGATTCACCTGCCTTGGCCTCCCAAAATGCTGGGATTACAGGCATGAGCCACCACGCCTGGCCTCAACCATTAGTTTTTAAAAGAACATTTCCTTCACCTCTTCTATTTTTTCCTTCTGAAACTGCAATTATTTCACTGTTGGAACCTATGTTCCCTATTTCTTAGTTCTTTTTTCCTCACTGTGTAATATCTTAATCTTTTCTTTATACTGTGTTCTAGGTAATTTCTAATACATAAGTTATCTCTTCATTTGTTGTTAGCCAGATATTTATCCCATCTATTGATTTTAATTTTAAAGACCATTTTCTATTTCCGAGATTTATAATAGATTCTTTTTATAAATGCCTGTGATCATTTAATTATCTTCTATTCTTCTTTTAGGATGTTAGTCCCACTTAAGTATATTTAGTATGCTCAAAGAGATAAAAAAAATTAAGATTCTTCATTTTAAAAACTGTCTTCAGGTGTAAATTCTATTTGCTGTGTCTGCTTATTGGTAGTAATTTTCCTAAAGTATATTATAATTTTGGTTTGTGGGCTCACGTTGGATTGTTTTTTCCTGTGTGTGTTTTACCCCTTTTGTGTGGCTTTGGAGTGTACTCCACCTGTCCCTCTGGCTGACATAGCTCTAGGTCAGCTGTTTCATTAGGAATTTGGGTTTTTACTTTGGGAATAGCCTAGTTCTGGACCACACTACATGTGTTATATGTGTTACGCAGGCCCAGTGTCTATTCTCAGGGTAGCTCTGTTCCTGCCACAGTTGGGTGGAACTTTTTTTGGCCCAGTTCCAGCAAGGAGTCTGTTTCTGGTCTTCTGTTGCATGCATGGCATGCTGGACTTCTGGAGCGTCACAGCTTTAGCTACACTGTTTTTAGTTAAAAGCCCTTTTCCTGGGGGCTGCATGGCTTTAGTGCCCACTTAACCACTCTAAATTTGTCAACCACGAAGATCGATCTTACACTCTTATTGAGAGTAGCTAAATATTTAAAGTTTTATCTAGTTTCTTGTCTTTCCTTCTAGAGGTACTTTATGTTTATATAAGTAATAATGTGCTTATTTTTCTTTGTACACAGAAGTTAGCATACTATATATCGTATTATATTAGTTCATTCTCGTTCTGCTATAAAGAAATACCCGAGACTGGGTAATTTATAAAGAAAAGAGATTTAAATTGGCTCATGGTTCTGCAAGCTGTATAGGAACCAGGCTGGGGAGGCCTCAGGAAACTTAAAATCATGGCAAAAGTGAAGGGGGAGCAGGCACATCTTACGGGGCCAGAGCAAGGGGAGGGCAGAGAGGGAGAAGGTGCCACATGCTTTTTTTTTTTTTAAATCAGGCATTTAGAAACAAGCATACATTAATTACATAAAAATAGTTTTTGAATAACAGAGTAAGCATCATATTGTCATTAGCAACAACATAGGACATGGGGCGGGATGCAGGACTCTGGGTGGTTTTAAAGATAGAGGTGGGTGGGTTTTTCCCCCTCTTTTTTTTTTGCAGGGCTCTGGGTGGTTTTAAAGGTAGAGGGCGGTTCCCACCCCCTCCCTTTTTTTTTGAGATGAAATTTTGCTCTTGTTGTCCAGGCTGGAGTGCAATGGCACAATCTCAGCTCACCACAACCTCTGCCTCACAGGTTCAGGCGATTCTCCTGTCTCAGCCTCCTGAGTAGCTGAGATTACAGGCATGCGCCACCACACCTGGCTAATTTTGTATTTTTAGTAGAGACAGGGTTTCTCCATGTTGATTAGGCTAGTCTCGAACTCCCAACCTCAGGTGATCCGTCTGCCTTGGCCTCCCAAAGTGCTGGGATTACAGGCATGGGCTACTGTGTTCGACCCTTTTTTTCCCTTAATTGGGGGGAAAAAAAAGTTATTTGTTATTCCTGACTTAAAGCAAGAACAAATGCCTCCCTGGACCCTGGTGGGCTGTGTAACAGGGAGGGTCAGGGAGGAATGAGAAGGGCTCTGCACCTACTGGGAGGATGGTGTCATATGGAAAACTGGCACAGGGGCTTCTTCTCCTCCTCTGTGCCACACACATTTTTGAACAACCAGATCTCAGGAGCACTCACTATCATGAGAGCAGCACGGAGGGGGAAATCCACCCCCATAATTCAGTCACCTCCCACCAGGTCCTACCTCCAACACTGGGGATTTGGGTGGGGCCACAGACCCAAACCATATCACCTATACTTTGCTTTTCTTAATAAGATAGGGAGTGTTTTTTTTTCTTTTTGAGAGACAGAATCTTGCTCTGTCTCCCAGGTGGAGTGCAGTGGTGCAGTCATAGCTCACTGTAGCTTCAACCTCTGGGCTCAAGCAATCCTCCCACTTCAGTCTCCCTAGTAGCTGGGACTATAGGCATGCACCACCATGCTCAGCTAATTAAAAAAAAAAAAAATTAAAGATGGGATCTTGCTTTGTTGCCCAGGCTGGTCTTGAACTCCTGGGCTCAAGTGATCTTCCCACGTTGGCCTCCCAGAGTGCTGGGTTTACAGGCGTGAGCTACCATGCCCAGCCAAGATAGGAAGTATTTCCATTTGGTAAATCAGAGGGCTGGCATGGAGATTTGGTTTCTTTGTTAAGGAGACCTGCTGATTTGACCTGCATAGTTTATCTTCATCACAATGGGTAGAGACTTTTCCTACTTTTGAATTTTTACATTGTTTTTTACATATAGTTTAAAAAATGTTTATCTTCTCATTTTCTTTAATATAAAGATTAATCAGTTCTCTAATTGTGACCTTAACATTAAATTAAATCCTTTAAATTTTCATCATCCATTAAATTAAATTAATAATGTACCTACTGTTTATAGGTTCCTGAGAACTATGTGCTTCTATGTCTTCTTTTATGGGATATTTAAAAAATATTAATGGTAACAAGCACTTACATACATTTACTATGTGTTAGCACAGAAGTATAGAACAAAAGAGGAGAAATTGTTTGGAGGCAGTGATAAGGAGTCTATGTCACTGAGAAATATGAAAAGATGTTCAACCACTAGTATTAGAATCAGCAATAAACTGAAGTTTTAGTTCCTTCCATTTCTCATGCACGTGCTACATTTCTTTCAGCTGTTTTTGGGGATGCAATGTAAAATAGTTTTGTTACAGCAGTAGCTTAAGGTGAGCTGTGTTAGCATTTTCAGGGTTTAAACCCCTAAAATCTCAGGTAGGTATATATTATCTTCTTGAGAACCTACAAAAAAATCTCATTCCACTAATTTCAGAGCAGTGTAGGACTTATCCAATGTAGGAATTGGTTGTTCAGTCTAAAATAATGGCCGGGCACGGTGGCTCACACCTATAATCCCAGCACTTTGGGAGGCTGAGGCGGCCAGATCAATTGAGGTCAGGAGTTTGAGACCAGCCTGGCCAACATGGTGAAACCCTGTTTCTCCTAAAAACATAGAAATTAGCCAGGTGTGATGGCACACACCTGTAGTCCCAGCTACTGGGGATGCTGAGGCAGGAGAATCGCTTGAACCTGGGAGGCAGAGGTTGCAGTGAACCGAGATCGCGCCACTGCAGTCCACTCTGGGTGACAGAGCAATACTCTGTCTCAAAGAAATAAAATAATATAAAATAAAATAACAATAAGTATAGTTTTTAAGTGGCTGCTTTTTGTCAGTTGCTGTAGTAAGTACTATAAGTCTAATAGTATACATTTACTGAGTTCTTGCTATGTGCCAGGTGCTGCTTTTTCCATATTAATCTAATCTTAATAACAAGCCCGTGAGGAAAATCCTGTTATTCTTGTTTTACAAATAAGATAAGTAGGATATCGTGAAGTTGAGTAACTTGTTTAGAGTCACAGAGTTTATAAGAGTTTATAAGTCTAGCACCAGAGATGTATTCAACATCAAATACTATACCTCCTATCTTCTTTAATTTTCACAGTAAGCCTATGAGGTAAGTATATAGAAAAGGAAACAGAGAGAGTGTGTAACTGTCTCATGGTCACTTGTTTCTGATCCCCATGAACCATACCATCAAACTCTTGCACTTAAGAAAATAGTCCAGTTTTTATACAACTTCATCTTACAACTCTTACTGCTTCTTGTCTTATCTCCCAGGGCCCCTTCTGAGCAGTAGAGGTTTCAAGTAATCCACTAACAACCAGTTCCAAATTCTGTGGTCAAATCCTGTGCTGCTGTTCCAAGTGGTAAGTTTTCTTATGGACATAGTAAAACTTTAATATATTCTATTCATAAATATCTTCATCTGGAAAAGGAACAAAGTATACTTCTGTGAACACATGATTGATTAGGCTTTATTGTTTTGCTACTGCTTTATCATACTGAGAAAATCAGAAGTTAAATATTAATATATTTGCCTGGCACAACTTTTGAAAATATTTAGCCCAACAAATAAGATGCTTTACGTCTCTCAGCTCGGTCTACTGTTATTTGTTATAATTCTATCTTGGCCGGGCGCGGTGGCTCACTCCTGTAATCCCAGCACTTTGGGAGGCCGAGGCGGGTGGATCACGAGGTCGGGAGATCAAGACCATCCTGGCTAACATGGTGAAACCCCGTCTCTACTAAAATGCAAAAAATTAGCCGGGCGTGGCGGTGGGCCCCTGTAGTCCCAGCTACTTGGGATGCTGAGGCAGGAGAATGGCATGAACCCGGGAGGCGGAGCTTGCAGTGAGCCGAGATCACGCCACTGCACTCCAGCCTGGGCGACTGAGTGAGACTCCGTCTCAAAAAAAAAAAAAATAATAATAATAATTGTATCTTTAGACCACATATTCAAGTGCTAAATGGACAAACACAGTGGTATGTTTTAATAGAGTTAAATTAGAACTATTATACATACATGAAGAACATTAGCGAACATTGTTTCTTAACTAAATTTTAAGTGATTACAATCTGATTATTAGATCAATTATAATATATTATACACTAGTCTCCCTTTCTCCGTGGTTTTGCTTTCCATGGTTTCAGTTATTTGCAGTCAACCAAGGTCTGAAAATATTTAGTGGAAAATTCTAGAAATAATTCATAAGTTTTAAATTTAGTGCTGTTCCAAATAGTGTGATGAACTCATACCCTGGACTTCAATCATCCCTTTGTCCAGCATATCTATGCTGTTTATGTTACCCACCCTTTAGTCACTTAGTAGCTGGTTGGAAATCAGATTTAAAAAAATAGTGTATATTAAATTTGGTAATATTTAGAGTTCCAGACATCCACTGGGGGTATTGGAGCATATTCCCCACAGATAAGGGAGGCTACTGTAACTACTGTTTACTGAGTATCCTTCATAGGTCTGACATTATGCTTTACAAATATAATTTGTGTGATCCTGTTAACAGTCCTATAAGATAGATGGTAGTGTTGCCATTTTATATAGGAAAAAACTGGTTACAGAAGTTCACAATTTTATATTAGGTCACATAACTTGTAACTTGACAGAGCCAGCTTTGAAACCTAGGTATAACTGTCTCAAACCTTTTGATTTTTCTCATTATACCATCTGATTATGTGTAGTGTTTGAATTTTGACCACGTAAAAAGTAAAGATTTTTAAGATGCTGAAGAGTGAAAAATCTAAAGGGTGTGCCTGTCTGTACATTTTAGAGAATTACAGAAGCTGTATTCAAATATACTGAATTACCTAATTTTTTTGTTTGTTGTTTTCAGGTAATAGATGCATATTATTTCTTTTATTTAAAAGAAATGAATGTGACTAGTATTGCATTAAGAGCTGAAACCTGGCTTTTAGCTACATGGCATGTTAAAGTACCTCCGATGTGGCTGGAAGCTTGTATTAACTGGATTCAAGAAGAAAATAATAATGTTAACTTGAGTCAGGCCCAAATGAATAAACAAGTGTTTGAGCAGTGGCTCCTTACTGATCTGAGGGATTTGGAGCATCCTCTTTTACCTGATGGCATTTTAGAAATTCCAAAAGGAGAACTAAATGGATTTTACGCTCTGCAGATCAATTCCTTGGTTGATATAAGTCAGCCTGCATATTGCCAGATACAGAAGTTGAGAGGAAAGAATACAACAAATGATCTAGTTACAGCTGAAACACAAGTAACCCCAAAACCTTGGGAAGCAAAGCCTTCACGAATGTTGATGCTGCAGCTAACTGATGGAATTGTACAAATACAGGGAATGGAGTATCAGCCTATTCCAATTCTTCATAGTGATCTTCCTCCAGGTACAAAAATTTTGATTTTTGGAAATATATCTTTCCGTCTTGGTGTTCTCTTATTGAAACCAGAAAATGTGAAAGTATTAGGAGGTGAAGTAGATGCTCTTTTAGAAGAATATGCCCAAGAAAAAGTACTTGCAAGATTAATAGGGGAACCTGATCCTGTACTTTCAGTCATACCAAACAATTCTAACGAAAACATTCCCAGAGTTACAGATGTTCTAGATCCTGCATTAGGTCCTTCTGATGAAGAACTCTTGGCAAGTCTTGATGAAAATGATGAGCTTACAGCAAATAATGACACTTCCTCAGAAAGGTGTTTCACCATGGGTAGTTTCTCAAATACCATTCCCACAAGACAGTCAAGTTTTGAGCCAGAATTTGTTATTTCTCCAAGACCAAAAGAGGAACCATCAAACCTATCTATGCATTTCATGGATGGGGAATTAGATGACTTTTCATTGGAGGAGGCCTTGCTTTTAGAAGAAACTGTCCAGAAAGAACAGATGGAAACTAAAGAATTGCAGCCATTGACTTTTAACAGAAATGCCGATCGAAGTATAGAGAGATTTTCACATAATCCTAATACTATGAATACTTTTTCTTTGACTTGCAAAAATAGAAACAATAATTGGAGTGAAAAAAATGTATCTGAACAAATGACTAATGAAGACAAATCATTTGATTGTCCATCTGTTAGAGACCAAAACAGGAGTATTTTTTCAGTTGATCGTAATGTACCCTTAACCCATGATTTTACAAATAAAGATAAGAACTTAGAGACAGATAATAAAATAAAACAAACCAGCAGTTCAGATGGACATTCCTTAAATAATAAAATATTAGATAGAGAGGTGGTCAACTATGTACAGAAAAGGAGTTCACAAATTTCTAATGAAAATGATCGTCATTTACAGACTTGTTCTTTAAGATTACTAGAGAATAGCATTAATTTTTCTGTTGCCATGGATTTGTATTCTCCACCGTTTATCTATTTGTCTGTTCTACTGGCCAGCAAACCAAAGGAAGTTACAACAGTGAAAGTGAAAGCATTTATTGTAACCTTAACTGGAAATCTCTCAAGTTCTGGTGGCATTTGGAGTATAACTGCAAAGGTGTCTGATGGTACTGCGTATCTAGATGTAGACTTCGTGGATGAAATACTGACTAGCCTGATAGGGTTCTCTGTACCAGAAATGAAACAGTTAAAAAAGGATCGTCTTCAATACCAAAAGTTCCTGGAAGGTTTGCAGAAATGTCAGAGAGATCTAATAGATTTGTGCTGTATAATGACTATTTCATTTAATCCTTCCTTGTCTAAAGCAATGGTACTGGCATTACAAAATGTTAATACGGAACACCTTGAGAATCTAAAGAAGCGGTTAAATAAATAAGTTAACTAAAATAGTATTAGGAACAATTAAAAACAACAAGGAAATATTTAGAATTTGTTCACAGTTTTACTTGTGAGACTTTGTGTAAAAAGGAAAGATGAAATTACATAACTTAGTTTAATTTTAAAGTGTTTAATCATGTTTGTTATATGTGGAGCTTTTTAACATAAGTTAATCTTTTTTTTTTTTTTTTTTAAAGACAGGGTCTTGCTTTGTTGCCCAGGCTGGAGTGCAGTGGCATGATCATAGTTATTGCACTGACCTCCTGAGCTCAAGCAATCCTCCTGCCTTAGCCTCTTGAGTTGCTGGGACTCTAGGCATATACCACCATGCCCAGCTAATTTATTATAATTATTATTTTGTAGGGACAGAGTTTTGCTCTGTTGCCCAGATTGGTCTCAAACTCCTGGCCTCTCAATCCTCCTGTCTTGGCCTCCAAAGGTTAATTTTTCAAAAAGTAACTGTTAGATGGGGGAATATGGTGACCCACTATTGTTGAGAAATTTGTTTTCCACTTGTCACATAAGATGAATGCTGAAGTATCAATACTGGTGTTCAGTGGTGAGTCATATTGTTGAAAGTTAATAATTATAAAGAGGTAATTTTCCTTCTAATGTGTTGTCTATGGCCATACCAACTGGAACATGCCTGAGCTTGTCATAATATGTTGAGTACCCAAAAGATTTGTTTATATTGTTAATCTTAGGAAAAAATAAATAAAATCCAGTTAGATCAGAACATCAAACTTTCAGATGCAAATTGATTTACTGGTTTTTATTTTGCTGATTATAATATTTGGTATATTTAAGGTAATCTAGTTAATTAGATGCTATTTCATAGATTATATTGAATGATTTAAAACTTTATTTTCAAGGATAGTTTATTTTAAACGGCATATTGAAAACATCATTAACAAGATCCAGTAGGTAGGACATTTATTGGATTAAAATAAGGCATTTATCTATGTCTTTAGGTGTCATTGTTCCCTTTCTGAATTAGCTGTACATATAAGCCTTCCTTTGGTTTTAAGTGCTGATTTTTTTTATTTTTTAAGAGGGGCTGTTTACCATTCTTCCACTGTGCTGTTATAAAGTTGTATTTGAAAGGTAATGTCGTTTTTATTAATCTTTTGTCTTAAAATAATTTAAAGTGCTTTGAGTTTTAAAACATTAAACAAATCCTTAAATAACAAAATACATTGGTGTTTTATTTTATTGAAAATAATGTAACAGGAAATATCAGGAAGTAAGATAAATACATGTATGAAAATATGATAATAGAAGTAGAAGAGAAAGATTTTTAAAATATTTCCATTGTTATATCAGGGTTCAAAGCACCAGGACACAGATATTGCTGGTATGTGCCCTAGTAATAATCTTGTCTATATACTTGCATAGCTTTTTAATAAGTGATCTGAATGGGATAGCCTTATCTTTCATTATCTTTTCATTAAATGCTGTGCTCTTAGACACTTTGTCTCTGTGAATGGGGCTTGAAAATTGGGATTAGAACTTCTTTTCATATTGTCATTAAAGACTGGCTATTGTACTTTTTATCAGTCTATGCTACTATATTGGTTCTTGGTGCGTTGATTCTGTTTCTAGTCTTCTCTGGCCTGGATTATTGCAGTGGTTTACTAATTGGTCTTTTATCTTATTTTGCCCTCAAACCATGCTCCATAATGTTACCAGAGTGATCTTTCGAAAATAAATGTCTTCTTGTTTTCTCTTCATTAACCTTTAATACCAACCTCCTTCCACCCCATTACTTACAGGTGAAGTCCAACCTCCTCACTGAGTATGTAAGGCCTTTCGTGATCTGGCCCCTGACTTCTTTTTTAGCCTATCCTGCCCCATTACTCTTTGCCCCTGAGTTTTAGGGGTACCAAGTTATTTGTAGTACACTAAACATATGGAAGAATATACCTCTTACTTTCATACTCATGCTTATAGTGCCTCATCCCCCTGCCTTCCTAAATCATTTCCAATTCAGTTTAAGCTTTAGCTGCCTGTTACAGTGTTTCATAAATTCCCCTGCCCACTTGCATGCTCTCCTGTACATTATACAGACTAATATGTGTGTTTTTACTGTGCTTGTTTCTCTGTTATTCTATTGCTACCTTTTTGGTAGGATAAGTGTTACGGGGCTGTCCTGTGTGCATTGTAGGATATTTAGCAATATCTTTGGCCTCTGCCCACTGGATATGAGCAGCATCCTTCCAGTTGTGATAACCAAAAATCTCTCCAGACATTGCCAGATATTCCCTGGAGCTGGAGATGCCCCTAGTTGAGAACCATTGTTCTGTTGGAATATAAGCTGCTTAACAGTATGGTTGAGGGGTTTACCTTGTTGCTCCAGTAAGCATTTCATCAAGTCTGATAATCTTCTGTTGCCTAATATCTTTTGTGATTTCCCGTCATCCATTCCAATAGCATGGTACTTAAAGCCCTGACACCTGTGCATACACAGCATGTCAAAGAGCTGCCCTCTTTAGTGAAAGAATAGATTAGAAAAATCTGGCCTGTAGTAAAGAGTGACTATGAAAAAACTTGGATGACTTGGTTTAGATTCTGGTTGGGTAGGGGAAAAAATGTTCTTTTCCCTGAGAATTTGTAGCCGTAGGTCTGTGCTCATGTGGGGCTAACCAGACACTTAAAAGTTACCTGCACGATAATCTCCAGACTAATAACTGAACACAAACAAGAATGATCCTAAGAGTTCCTGGCAGTAGCAAATGGGAAGAAAAAAACAAGCATAATCAGATGAGCTCTCTCTTTCTCTTGGGAGTGACTCTGCTTTCGGAGTACAGTTGTCCTTTGGTATCCATGGGGGATTGGTTTCAGAACCTTCCACGGATACCAACATCCAGATGCTCAAGTTTCTGATATAAAATGGTACCTTATTTGCATACAACCTATTCACATACTCCCATATACTTTAAATAATTTAATTTCTAGGTTACTTATAATTCTTTTTTTTTTTTTTTTTTGAGACAGGATCTTGTTCTGTCGCCCTGGCTGGAGTGCAGTGACACAATTACTGCTTACTTCAGCCTTGACCTCCTGGGCTCAAGTGATCCTCTTGCGTCAGCCTGCCGAGTAGCTGGGGCCACAGGTGTATGCCTCCATGCCCAGCTAATTACACTTTTTTTGTAGAGATAGTGTCTCGCCATGTTGGCCAGGCTGGTCTCCAACTCCTGTCCTCAAGCCATTGTCCTGCCTCTGCCTCCTAAAGTGCTTAATACAATGTAACTGCTAGGTAAATAGTTGTATTGTTTAGAGAATAATGACAAGGAAAAAAGTCTGTACACGTTCAGTATAGATGCATTTTTATTTTGAATATTTCTGATCCATGGCTGGTTGAATCCATGGGTGTGAGGGTTGACCATATATGTTTTTTGCTTGTTCATTCTTAAGCCTTACTGGTTGGCTCCCGCCCTGGGTCCAGTACTGCTTGTGACTTGGTGGGTTAGTCTACCCAATTCTGGAGTTAGTAGGCACCACATGAAGCTCTCAGACATTCAACTATTTTTAGACTTAAAAATAACAACGTAATATGCTTGAAAAAAGACAAGATTGAAAGTTTTAGTTAACTGGGAACTGAAAAACTAAATTGATTTTTTTTTTTTTTTTTTTTGAGACAGGGTCTCACTTTTTCACCCAGGCCGGAGTGCAGTGGTGCAATTGTGGCTCACTGCAACCTCGACCTCCTGGGCTCAAGCGATCCTCCTACCATGGTCTCTGGGCAGCTGGGACTACAGGCATGTACCACCAGGCCCAGATAATTTTTTTGTGTTTTTAGTAGAGATGGGATTTTACCATTTCTACCTAGGCTGGTCTCAAACTCCTGAGCTCAAGCAATCCACCTACCTTGGCCTCCCAAAGTGCTGGGATTACAGTATGAGCCACTGTGCCTAGCCTAAATGGAAATTCTAACAACAACAAAAAAGCAAGAACTGGAATTAAGAATTTGATGAGGCTGGGTGCGGTGCCTCGTGCCTGTAATCCCACAACTTTGGGAGGCCAAGGCAGGCGGATCACCTGAAGTCGGGAGTTCAAGACCAGCCTGACCAACATGGAGAAATCCTATCTCTACTAAAAATACAAAATTAGCCAGGGGTGGTGGTGCATGCCTGTAATCCCAGCTACTCAGAAGGCTGAGGCAGGAGAATCACTTGAACTCAGGAGGTGGAGGTTGTGGTAAGCTGAGATCGTGCCATTGCACTCCAGCCTGGGTAACAAGAGCAAAACTCTGTTTCCCCCGCTAAAAAAATTTTTTTTTGATGAGTGAGTTTCAAACCAGATGAAACAAAGCTGAGGATAAATAGTGAAATGAGTTGGGTCAGAAGAAAAAAATTCTGAATGATACATACAGAGACAAAAGGATGGAAAAGAACCAGAAAGCAATGTAACAGAAGGGCTAACATTAAGCAACTGGAGTTCTAGAAAGAGCAAAGTAGAGAGTATTTGGAGTTAATGCTTAAGAATTTCATAAAACCCATGAAGATCTTCAAGCTATAGATTTCGAAAGTTCTGCAAACCTCAGGCAAAATAAATTTTTAAAATACACATACAAATATTACTAATACAGTTGAAAAGTAAAGAAAAAATGTACAGCAGTGACAAAAATAAGATATATTACCTTCTAAGGACCAAAATATGACAACTGACTTCTCTATACAAACAATGGGAATCAGAAGATAATGGAATGACATTTTCAAAGTGATGACATAACTGCCAACCTGGAGTCTATAATAAGCAAAACTGTCCTTAAAAATAGGGTGCAATAGGAAAAATTAAGAACGTTTCCACCAGGTGTGCTGACTCACGCCTGTAATCCCAACACTTTGGGAGGTTGAGGCCCACGGATCACTTGAGGTCAGGACTTTGCGACCCGCCTGGCCAACATGGTGAAACCATATCTCTACCAAAGATACAAAAATTAGTCGGATGTGGTGGTGTGCACGTGTAATCCCAGCTACTTGGGATACTCAGGAAGCTGAGGCAGGAGAAATGCTTGAACCTGGGAGGCAGAAGTTGCAGTTGACTGAGATCGTGTCACTACACTCAGCCTGGGCGACAGAGTGAGACTCTGTCTCAAAAAACAAAAAGCAAAAAAAACCAAAACATTTCACATGAAAAATGAGAATTTCCCCCTAACAAATCCTGTACACACACAAAAATTGTCTTTAAGCAGAGGGAGAACATTATCAGATAGAAGCTTGGAGATGCAAGAAGGAATATGAATTAAGAGGGTAAATATATGAATTAAATGCATAGTGATTTTACTTTTTTTTTGAAGTCAGGGTTTTACTCTGTCACTCAGGCTGGAGTACAGTGGAGATCATGTCTCACTGCAGCTTTGAACTCTTGGGTTCAAAAAATCCTCCTGCTTCAGCCTCCTTAGTAGGTGGGACTAGAGGTGCATAACACCATACCTAGCTAAGTTAAAAAAAAAAATTATAGAGACAAGGTCTTACTATATTGCCCAGGCTGATAATGAACTGGCCTCGAGTGATCCTTCTGCCTCAGCCTCCCAAGTTGCTGAGATTACAGGCATGAGTCACTGCACCCAGTATAAATGAATAGTGATTTTAAAACAGGCTGGGCTCAGTGGCTCACACCTATAATCCTAGCACTTTGGGAAACCAAGGTGGGCGGATTGCTTGAGGCCAGGAGTTCCAGACCAGCCTGGCCAACATGGTGAAACCCTGTCTCTACTAAAATACAAAAATCAACTGGGTATGGTGGTGCATGCCAGTAATCCCAGCTACTTGGGAGGCTTGAGGCATGAGGATTGCTTGAACTCAGGAGGTGGAGGTTGCAGTGAGCCACACACCACTGCAGCCCAGCCTGGGTGACAGAGTGAGAATCTGAATTTAAAAAAGAAAAAGCACATAACTTGGGAGAGGGATAAATCAAGTTAAAATGTTTTAATGGCCTTGTTTTCTGAGAAAAGATTAAGCTATAGTTTTATATTAAACTTTTTTCTTTTTAAAAATTTTTATTTTTCATTTTTAACCCTGGCCTACAGATATATTAAGCTCGAATATTCAAAGTTGGTTTTATAATACTCAGGGTAACCACTCTAAAAGATTTTTAAGATCTTAAAATATTGCCACCAAGCTAATGGGACAAAAACATGATAATACAGAACAAATTGCACTCAACCCAAAGAAATGCAGGAAAGGAAAT